CCAGTATAATGTAAGTAATGAACTATGTTAAAGCAGCTCATTCAACTTGAAAATTCAAGTAAACAGACGTATAAAGTATACGCGCTGTATACGTCTAGACCCTTGCCAAACAGGACGACATCAGTGCCGATTTGACCTGCCCCCCAAAATACTAAAAAAGTGTGTTATATTGTAACTTCAATTTCCGATTGATTCAGCTTAATTATTAATTCAAGACTGATATATTCACGTCTTTGTGGAATTCAAGTTACGTAATAGTTCTATTCAAGTCACGTGATCCCAATGAAATGAATAATTATCCCGGAATAACATTGTTTAGTTGTCTCTCAAAACATGTATTAAATGCTAATTACTTCAAACCAGTCAATAGGAAAAAAAGTAAAACAAAAATGAAAACAAATGCTCGAAACGTCTTAGTCAAAATATATTGTTTACAAACGTCCGCAGCGTCTTAAATTGTGCCTGTAATTACTAAATAAGTACATTCTCTAACTCGACAGAAAGAACTGGAAATTGACATATTGCCTATTTTGAAAAATTCCGAATGCAACCATTGGTGGAAAGTTCGACCTCATTGTGGATTTTATAATACTTACATCAATGGGGTATGCAAGGTTGTAACCTCATCTTTACTTTATACTCAAACATTTTTTCTAAATCGATGCCATAAATTCTGATAATGCTTGTCGATACCTTCTTTCATTTGCTTTATTACCAATGTACACATATAATAGATTTTTTTTTGGTATGGGATGATTCTGATATTTTTCCTTTTTCATGTCAGTACCAATGTTTACAGATATGCGCTGTGCGACGACCACCGCCCTTTAAAGTAGTTGTCTATTAATAAAAACTCATCGCCAGATTTCCTTTAATTTTTTTTTATTATTTACTGTATGTTACCGATCACAAAATCCAGGGAAAAAGGTATGGTCACCGAACTACTTTTCTCACAAACTTGGAAAATGAGTCAAACATACAATTGATGAGCCATTTGCCATTGGGTCCTATGGTTAAAAGGTTACGTTATATCTCAACATCTCATGTAGTTATAATATGGGTACTTATGTTTGTCCCGAAATTATTGGGAAATTCTAACGAATACTATTTATGTTTTTATGAAATACTGCTTTAATACGAATTTATATGTTGAATAGTTCCAAAAAAAGGTCAAACTTTTCAGACACAGTTTATTATTTTAAGAATGGCATACTGCGGGTGTTATAAGTGCAGAAGTATCGTTTTTAAACATGTGACATCACTCTTAAATATGCGTAACATCAACATGATAATAGAACAATCTCCACGGAATCTTAAACAAATTACCTCAGGGCACGTATTCTCAAGAGTTCATCCTGCAAGGATATATCACCCTCTGGCGACGAAGCTGAAAATGTTTAATAGATGACATCCGGGAAGTGACATCGTCTGATCAGACAGGTTCGTCGTAACTGCTCTAATCACTAATCGTTTTACAAGCGATAGTAATTAATATAACCGTAAACGTCAGTGTATTTTTTTTAAATCGATAAATGTATGATTAAAAGCAGGGTAGTACATCAACTGCTTAATCACCGAAAAGACAGAAGGAAACAAATGGATACCCATCCTTCAAAAAAAAGGTTTTACATTTTATAACAGAAGGGAATATATCTGGTATTTATTCATGTACAAATATTTGAAAAAAATCCCTAAACGCCGGACTCCACATAAATTCGAATCGGAATATGACCAGCAATTACCAAAATAGTGATATGACTAATCAACATTGCCATAACCTTTTTACTGTACAATGTTATCTTTCTGTTATTTGGACAATTCTGCGATAATATTATCTCTCTTGCTATTGGGACCATTCAAGGATAATATTATCTCCCATATTCTTGTGACAACTCATGAATAATATTATTTTTTTCTGTTCCTGTGACAGCTGAGGGAGAATATTATCTCCCTTGTTATCGGGACCTTTTACGGATAACATTATCTTTTATTTTCTATGAACAATTCGGGAATAATATTATCGCCCCTGTTCTGGGGACAACTCGGGATAATATTTACCCCTTTCTTGGATGTTTTTTTTTCAATTGAATCTAACAATATATAATTTTTGCTCTAAAAAGATTTGTTGTGTCAGGCTTCATATACAGATAATTATTTGTCATTCGATGTGTTAAGTGTAAATAAATATATTAAATTGTACTATCTTGTGAGCTGTACAGCGTATCGCATTCGATAGAACATCAATTACCTGCCTGCATTAACAATTCGTTGAGATCATGAATTACCTTTAAAAATATATATAACATAATATTTGCAATAATGTGGTGAAGTGGTTGAACTAGAACTCAGCACAACTTTTATATGGATACTGGTATTGGGATATTAAAGCGACAGATGTCTAGAGCAAATCCGTTGTTTTTATCACAAGTGTAAAAAAATCAAAATCAAGTGTATCAATTATAACATTTTTAATAACATTTTCTTGATTTCAGAAACGATTGTTTGTTTAAGTTGGCCGGAGGAGGCGACGACAATTAGGCCGTATGTGGGTACCTTGTTTTTTTTTTTTTATATATTACCATTAATAGTTATCATTGTATGTAGCATACGTATACATGTTACCCAGTAGGAAAGCAAAGCTGCTTAAAAAGGGACAATATTTACACTGTATGTTAAACATATTTTAGGAACTCTCCTATAATAAACTTGAATGTTTAAATTGTGAATATGTAAATTTATTTTGTGTGCGTGCATGATTTGTGAGAATCAGTTTTCGATTTTGCCTGAAACACTCGGAATATAAATAAATAATGTTTTAATTGCCAACAACATCCATATTCCTTATTGTAGTTTTTTTAGAACAAATATTCATCAAAAATGAAAAAAAAAGATATATCATCACGAAAAGAAGAATAACCACTCAAGGCACACAAGGTAATGGAATATGCTTTACAATTTTGACGAAGAACTCTCAGTTAAACCACAACAAAAAACATGCAATTATTGTGAGCCGACCAGCCTTCAAATATAGAATTATCCATACATTCCACATCTCTGACGTATTCATCATTCCAGAATAATCTGCGACATAGAATGTAATTCAAACTGAGCTTAGGACATGTATTCCGTCGGATTTACCTTAATATGATTAATCTAACCGTGTGAACCGACCTTCAGTAACCGTACGATCAGTAACCGAGTTATAAACTAAATGAGAGCGACAACTTTTAGAATATACACCAATCTGGCCTTTGTCTGTGTACCAGACTAGGAATACTACTTAGATTCAGTTTCTACGCACGAATACGTATTATGTTTGCAATTCGAAGTAACCCATTGAATATAATACCACTATTTATTGCACATACGTCGTACGTCAGAACGTATACACAGCATTATTACTCAATGAAAACATATGTGTTCCAATCAAGAGGGCTTTTACTTTTACATCGTGACAAACAGGAATGTGTTAAAGAGGTGGTTTAACCAAACATGACCTCTCGTGTTTTTTTATCTAAACAATGAAGACCATCCGCCAGAATATATTTTTCATTATGTGTGATGCTATTAGTGTGTTAGTTTTCATCGAGTTGTTTTAGATAGGATTGCCTCATACTTCATCCTTGTTGCAACTACTCGGTACTGGTGTACCCATTGATGGATTTATACAATTATTTTGAGATCAAGTTCACTCATTGGGCTAATAGTCCTTTCCTGTCTCTTTACATATTGTATTATTATTGCATTTGATGTTTTTCAGACAATTTAAGGTAGTCTTATAATTCATGAGAAAGTTGGCATAAATCGTGTGAAAATATTCATCTTTTTTTTATTTACAAGAACGTCATTGTGGTTCTATGATATTAGTAAACAAATTAGCAAACTATTATTTATAGACGTTATGTACAGAACAGTGTGATAAAGCAATATAGCATTTTTGATTCATTTTGTGAACCAGATATATAATTTTTTCACTAAATGTCTCCAGCCAACAGTTTGAGTTATGGCATAATATCTCCACCATAGTAGGTAACCAATGGCAACACAGTTCTGACGCTGACAAAAAATAACCGCCCGTGATAC